TATATGAAGAGCATATGCCTAGAAATTGTTCTGAGAAACTTACCATCATTTTGGCCCTTGCTCCTCATCTCCTCCTTCCATGACACGATGGTGCTCAGAGGAACATAGTCCCTTATGTATTCTTTGCGTCTCTCCTCTAAGGTCATCTTCAGCAAACGTTCTTGCAAAATAAAAGCAGAATCTCCATTTGCATTTAAATTTTAATCTTAGGAACTACTGAATACATTTATAAATATTAATCATGCTACACTAACCAAAGACTTAATGCAATCCAATGATTTCATATTTGAGGGTTAAAGGAGGTCAAATTAGTTCAACACTAGCAAGAAATGTAAAATTAAAGCTGGTAGGGACAAAGTTCCTAAGGTGTCCCCAAAAAATGAGTCATTTCTTCCTATCATCATGGACTAACGTGGGGCACATACTAGGTGAGGCATTCACAGACTTCAGGAACAATGATCTGTCAGTTCCCACGGCAAAAGAGCAAATGAGTAAGTTACAAAATAGTATCAACTAGAGAAAGCGCAGACTGCTGAGACAGGTGTGTCCAAACAGTGATAGCACAAGAAAGGCAGCTACAAAGCTGTTTCCTCATTTTTTCCAGGCTATCAACAACGAGAGTCTACTCTCAATTCAGTAATAGCATTATGGTGGTAGAACATACATACTTTAAATATACACTTTAAGATTAAAATATAAAACAACATCTTAGAAAAGCAGATGCTGTTTATAAAGAGCTCACTGGGTGCCAAGTGTTTCCGATGTTTGTATCACTAAAATAATTTTCATAACAAGTCATGACTAACGAAGCACAGATAAGAGTCTTCCCATGAAGAGGAAAAGAGTAAGGGCATTTCAACTAACAGAACGACAATAAAAGCAAGGCGATGCAAATACTTTAATGAAATCTAACATTTTATCTGGAACAGAAGACCCACAGAAGAGAAAAACAGCCAAAAATAAAGTGAAACTGTGCAAGGATTTGTATGGGATCCTGTGGCATTAGCCCTCCTTCTGTAAAAAAAAAAAGACCAATTTAAAGTTGGTTAGGAATATCCTGGTTTGTGCACAAGATGATCCACTAGGAAGCAGGAAAAAGGGCTACTTATTTTTAATATAAGAAATAAATTTCTGGCACTAGAGGGAGAGGACGGAAAACAGGAAAAAACAGAAAATTTGTTGAAGTTAACAACAGTTACAAAGGAGAATAATGACATAAAATCTAGTTGTTGTCAAGGTTAAGAAGTTCAAGTGATATAGAGGAAAGAGCTTTAATAAATACAAGAAGAAAATGCTATCAAGTTCTACAGGAAGGTCAGAAAAAAAAAAAGAATTACTTTACAAAGCCACTGCCTTATCGACTGGGTGTCCAACAGCACAGAAAACAGAGCAGTGGTTGACAGAGTTTGGCTTATGACCTAAATCTATATGGTCTTAGATCAATTTCCTCATCTCTTTATGTTTCAATTACTTCATGAGAGAATTAGGTATTCTTCCAAACTTTTAGGTGAGGTAACTAAGGCAGTGAGGTCAGAAATCTTACATAACATCTTGGAGCTTGTAGAGTGGTATCAACTAAGGTTTGAAATGGGACAAGTACATCTAAAGCTTAACCCTACATTACCTCATACCATTTTCTACTTTCATGAGTTCAGAGAGCAAATGATATAACCCTTATATATAAGGCATTAAAAAACAACAAAGAACACAAAACAGGACTTCGGTAACTTATTATGTTCATCATCATTACTGAATGACTTTAGAAACACTAGTTTCATTCAAATATAACTGAAATCCATGACACTATGAGGTACTAAAGGAAAGAAAAGGAAAAGGGAAAGGAAAGGAAAAGGGAAAGGAAAGGAAAGGAAAGGAAAGGAAAGGAAAGGAAAGGAAAGGAAAGGAAAGGAAAGGAAAGGAAAGGAAAGGAAAGGAAAGGAAAGGAAAGGAAAGGAAAGGAAAGGAGGAAAAAGAAAGTAAGGCCTGATATAGTGGCTCACACTTGTAATCCTAGTACTTGGGGTTGGAGAAAGAGGACTGTCACATGTTCAGGGTCAACCTGGGTTACAGAATGAGTTCTAGGCCAACCTAAGCAATGCAGAGTTAGACCCTGTGGAAAAGGAGGGAGAGGGGAAGAAGAGAAGGAAGGAGGGAGGGAGGGAGGCTGGGAGGGAGGCTGGGAGGGAGACTGGGAGGGAGGGAGGACAGAACAGGACAAGACAGAAAAGGAAAGGAAAAGACAGAAAGAAAGAAAAGAGAGAGAAGAGAGAAAGAAAAAAGAGAAAAGGGAAAGAAAAGAATGAAGGGAGGGAGAGAGAGAGAGAAATAAAGGAGAGACGGAAGAAAGGAGAGAGGGAGGAAGAAAGATTAGCAGGGAGGACAAGGAGCACAACCCCAAGGCAAATCCCTGTGAAAGGAACAATACTTTAAGGTCAAACATAAGACCACTATTATAGACAGTAGAGAAAAGATGAACAGCCTAAAAAATAAATACATGACGACACAAGATCCCAAAAGACTATACACGACTAACCGAAGAGCACGATCACAAGGGTTAATCTAACATGTAATAAACAATTTAAAAAAAATGCTCCCTCTAAAATGGGAACAAAACCTAAACTAAAAGTAAAGTAACAGTCCAATGACACTACAGAGAGCATGTTAGGGTTGCTACTGTTTTGTTATACTTAATTTTTCATGAATTAAAAAGACAGAGTCGTCTGTTCATTGTAGAATAATAGGTAGAACAGGAAGGTTCAAAGAAATAACTTCGGAATTGGCTCACAAAGTCAGAAAAGGGAACTGACCGTCAGTGGTTTAAGCACTGCTTCCACAGCTCAGATCACAGTGCAGGATTGTTACAGCTAGACATTAGGCTGAAGGACATTAGGAAACATTGTTTATGTAAATGCCGAAAGTCAGACAGAAACAAGACTGTTATTCTGTTTATTTGGAAGTAAATGTGCATACTGAAAACAAAACAACACTAAATGTGATACAATAAAAAAACAATGAGATAAACTGCAAAGCTTTAAATGAAAAGACACACATTAAATGATTCTGAATTAAAGCTCAGAGTAGTAGGACAATACTTATTTACATGTGTGCCTTTTAAGAACTCCTCAGTTACTTGTTTCAGAATGAATCAAATGGAAAGCAAAAGGCACAGTTTCTCAGGCATTACCAAAAACTTCCTTCTGCTAATGCTTCATCTTCATAATGAATCCATTCTCTGGGAATCAAGTCCATAAAGAGTCCTATTTATTACATGCTGTTCTGAACTAAAATATGTCTCTGAAATGCCTTGATAGTGCAATGATCTCGGTAAGCCTTCATTTAGATTTTAATAACAGCTGCAGAAGTACTAAGCCGTCATTAAAGAAGTACTTTATCCCTCCAGTGGGATATAAGGGAAAGGGCATGCATCCCATTGGCTTCTTTTTGGTGGAATAACAGATGATACTTCACACTTTACTATTCCAAAACAGACATCCCGAGAAGACAGATACAAAGAACTCACTTGGTAATATTTCCCTTTAACTTTAACCTTCATGCAAAAATAGCTTAGTTTGGGATAAAAGAAAATAACTCCATTGAAAGCATTCTTTATGCATTTGCTTCTTCATTTTTTTAAAAAAATATTTGTTTATATTTTCCTTTTAGAAGAAACAAACGGCAAAACAAAAATAAACAAGATATTAAAGAAAGATTCTGAAATGTCTTCTCATCATAGTCCAAGGGTATAGATGCTACTTTAGGAGCTATTTTTCTAACATAACAGACAGAGTTCTCAAGTTTTCCCTATACAGTCAATGATTCATGTTGCTGAGAACACTGTCAATGGCTTTACACTATTTTGTTTTATCGTCATCAATTATACAAAGCTAACATATAAAGAACATCAAGAAGAACGGGTGTGATTTTTCCAGCGCTCACAATAAGTATGCTCAACACAAACTGCTACTACAAAAGCAAGGCACAAGCACTGTGTCCCAGAGACGACTCTTTCCCCAACTCTCCCTGGCTTTAGTTTTCCCCAGAGATAGGTGTAGAGAGGCCTTCTGAGGGTCAGCGAATGCTCTACCAGTGACCTATGCCTTCCGCTGTTATCAGACCGTAGTTCTAAACAGCATTTGTTTTGTGACACCTTAAGTTTTAATTCTCTCAAACTCATATTCATTAACACAATGACTCTTGCAAATCTTCCGGCATTTTAAGGATATTTGAACTGGGCTGTTCAGTCATGTTAAGACTTCCCTACAGTTAATTTGAAAACTTCCCTCCTTACTCCTTTTTTCATGCACTGTTAAAGCAGGCACTATTTGGAGAATTCTTTCTCATCTTCGTACTGACATCTACTGTTTGGTCAAAGGGTTCATAAAGGGCAGGGACTTGAAATGAAAATGTTTAACAAGCTAAGGCCAAAAAAGAAAAAGATCAACTTTTGCCCCATTATCCCTGCTCTTTAAGACAGTCCAGAGAAATCTGTACACCCTTGCTCAGCTTCATCCTTTTAATACAGATTTCGTCGCTAGTAGCAATGCACATGGTTTATCTGTAATGGGAAGGGGGGAATAAAAGAGGTTAAAAGATGAAGAAAACTATGCCAGACACATCAAAATATGGTCTGTGAAACTGAGGTGAGACAGACGGGAGAGAAAAAAAAAAATCGCACAGCTCTCCTTCTTAAAGGAATCAGCGCCACTGTCAATCTAACGGATCTGGAGAAGCCTAGGTGTGCACAAAACTCGGGAAAGGGTTCATTCACGGAGTGCAAGCAGCCTTACTCAGGGCGACTTCACACTATGAATGGGAATGCAACAGAGAAACAGGGCGCCGGGGAAAGCCCATTCAGACTTCTCGGAAGGCACTGATGCTCGCCCGCTAAGATGCTCCTGGCAGGTTGCAAATTTCAGAAGTCCCACTGCTGCAGCAGCGGAGCGGGGCTGGGATGGACGGAGGGCAGAGGCGGGGAACGGACGAAAGCAGGTGCAGGCGCACCCAGGCTCAGCAGCAGCCGCAGCCTGAGCCCCCGCCGCCGGGCAACCTGTCCACGGGACTCCCGGGCAGGCCGTGCAAATTCCCGGCCGGGGTCCTGACCAACTTGCACGCGGCCCCGGGGAACCCGCCGCCGGGGAGGAGACGACTCGGCGCCCAGGGGGGTGTGCGCCCCGCACGTGCGCGAGCCGCAGGTGCCCGGGGGCGGCGCGTGGCCGGCTGGGGCGTGAGCGCGCGCGCGCGTGGACGCGGCCACGGGCTGGAGCTGCACCGGCCAAGAGGGCGCGAGGGAGGCTACGGGCGGAGGGCGCCGCGCCGCCCCGCCGGGGCCCCCGCCCCCCACCCACCCGCCGCCCGCCCCCGGGGCCTCGGGGCCGGTTACCTTTCTCCTCTCTCCACACCTTTTTCTTCTTGTTGCTGGGGTACATGCTGCCGTGGGGGTGGCTGGCTTTAAGCTGCAAGTTCCCCAGGCTCACGGGCAGACAGGGTGTGTGGAGTGTGGGGGGGCCGGGAAATGGAGGGGACACTCGGGTGGGAAAAGTGCAAAGGCTCTACGTCCCGCGCCGCTAGCCGATCGCCCGTCGCCGCCCTCCTCCCCTCAGCCCGCCCGCTCTGCCCCGCGGCCGCCGCCACAGCAGCACCTCAGAGCCTGTCAACTAGGTCACGCCTCGCGCTAACCTAACACCCGCGCAGGCCCCGCCTCCCGGCCGCTAGGCAGCGCCGCCGCCCATTGGCTGCTCCGCCCGCCGCTCTCCGCGTTCTAGCCAAGGCGCGCCCCGACTTCAGCCTCAGGGCGCAGGCGCAGGCTTGGGCCCGACGCCGAGGACGTTGGGGAGCTGGAGGGGGCGGGGCCAGAGCTCGAGCCCCAGGCCGCGGCGCCGACCGGGGCGGGGCGTGCAGCAGCGGCCGGCAGGGAGAGGGCGGAGCGGGGCAGAGGGCGGGGCCTGTTGGCAGGTGCGCCAGGTGACCGCGAGCCTGCTGCGAGAGGTGGCGTGTCCGGGGTTCTGCAGGACTAAGAGGTCGCGGGTCCTGGGAGCTGTCCGAGCTCTTTGTAACTGCCTCGCTTGGAAAGGTTTTACCTGATAATCGGCCGCTTTCCTCTTGGTGGGCAAATAGAACCAAAAGAAATGATCCCAATGCTGCTGAATCTTGGGTTAGGGATTTCGTTAGGATTCTGTGAAGTTCCGAAAGCTTCGAAGTATACTGGGCTAACTCAAGAGTTTTAAGAACTGGCAACCAAAATTCATTGGGACCAAGTCCTACATCAAAGCTAATTCCAATGAGTAATGCCCGTGGCTGGTTGTCTTTTATTCTTCGTTGACTTCAAAATAGCTTCTGATCCAAAGGTCTAGCTTGATCCTGGGTGGTTCTGTCATGATTCAGAAAATTCAATTGCAGGAAAATCTTCTACGGGAATACAGTGACCTAGAACATAGAACTTTTGGATCCCCTTGTACCCCAGCTTTATTGTCTTTGTCCATAGAGCTGGCTTAGTGGATTTGGGAAAGTCACATTTATTAAATTTTGGGTTTATGTTACATGTGTTGGCAAATATCTATATGGAACACAATATTTTTTTGAGATTGGTCTCTTTGTAGCTCAGACTTGTGTAGCAGACTTTCTTTCAGACCACCAACCAGTACCCCAATCATGAGACAGAGACATGTTATTTGTTGCGAATGCTCAGACTTAGCTTTTATTTTAGTGTTTCTTTTTATCTGCATTCTTTCTCTATGTCCTACTTTCATTGCTTCTCCTATCTGCCTAGCTGGCTTCCGGCCCTGGGCATGCCCCTCTCTCTCTCCCTCATTCTCTTCTCTAGCCTAGATTTCTCTTCCTTCTAACTCTGCCTTCGAACTCACCTTACCCCTCCCCTGTCTAGCTATTGACCGGTCAGCTTTTTAATAAACCAATCAGGTGTCTTAGATAGGCAAGGTGACACACAAAAAAAATGAAAAGAAACATCTTTACCTTGCTAACAAAGCCAGTAGAAACAAATGTAACAAATCTTCACATAGTTAAAGTAATTTTCCACAACAGGCTTCCCCCAATCCCGGGATTTTCTTGCTTCAACCTTAAACAAACTCCCACCAAAGAGGACTAGAATGCATTCAAAATAATAATGATGATAAATAAAAGGGAAAGAAAGGTACACTAAGAGATGTAAAGAATAGAATTTTTGAGTAATGAAAGTTAAAATGAATTCACAACATCTTAAAATAGTAATATTTGTTTTGATATTCTCTTTGGAATTTTTCTTTAAATGCTACCATATCCATAAAACATTATTATGTTGGGAGAAACAGAAAAGATGCAAGGAGGAAGTAACATTTGGAATAATTTTTGCAATGGAATTATAAGGGCTTTAATTCATGGAGAATCAAGAGAAAATTGACAATGGGATAAACTTTCGGAGAGAGAGAGGGGAGTTTAAAAAGATGATGACACTCTCATGGATGGTCAAAGCAATGTTGCCATTAACCAAGAGATGTCATTTGAATGTGGAGAGTGTAATGATTTGTCCTGTCCCTTGAAGAGACAAGCCACACCACTCCTGATCTTCAGCTTCCAGACTGAGTCCCTCCTTTCCAGTCTCCCTCTTGAGGAGGCAGCTTCTGTCTCTCCCTTCTCCCCACTTCTCCGCTTCCCCCCTCTGTTTCTCTCTCTCTCTCTCTCTCTCTCTCTCTCTCTCTCTCTCTCTCTCTCTCTCTCNCTCTCTCTCTCTCTCTCTCTCCCCGCTCTTCTCCCTTTCTCCCCTTTCCCCTCCACTAAATATGCAACCTCACTCTGCATGGTGTGCCTATCCATGTCTCTGTCTCTCGCCCACCATGTGGCTCCCTGCGCCTTTGGAGACCTGTGGCATGATCTCGTAGCATGGTCTTGTGACATGCTCATCTGTCTGTTTCTCATCGTGGGACTAGCTGCCCCATCGAGGTCTCTCACCCACCATGCATCTCCCTGCCTGGGACTCATAGCCTGCTGCAGCCACTCGGGGAACTCTGCCATCCTTGCCTGGGGCTGGCTGCTCTCTCGGGACCTGCTGCCCACTGCCTGCTGCCACTTCAGGGACCTTCAGCATGGTCTTATGGCCCTCCCGCTGCAGCCACTCAGGGATCTGCAGCATTCTTACTTAAACCATAACAAGGTTTACAAAAGCTTTCGTCCCAAAGTGGTACTACTCCAGGGTGGTGTAATTGGGGTATGCTGTGAAAAGGAAACATGAAACTCCTCTCTCTCTGCTGTCTAGCCTAAGATCTAAGTAGGTTGTTCCACCAAACACTCCATACATAATGTGGCATTGTCATGAGAGACTCAAACCAATGTGACCTTTCAGAATTGAACTTGAACCTCCAGAACCATAAAGCAAAAAGGGCAACTTTATTTCCTAAGTAGACTGTCTTTGGTATTTCATTGTGTTATTGCAAGTTAGCTCAACAATTAAAGATCATATTTTGGGGGGAAATTAACTTATTTAAAAGTGCTAAATGTTAGGTGTCTGCCAAAAAGTACCAAGCCCCTTTCCTTCAAGATGGAGGCTGCACTCCAGCCTAGGACCAATCCTTCCACCTATGCTTTTTTTTTTTTTTATAAATTTTGCACTATTGACTATCTGTTTTCTCATGGAAGCTAAAAGAACTAGTTCTTTTATTGTGTTAAGACACGGGTACTTAGGCAGTACTTAAGTGTTGATGTTCAATGATTATAAAAATTAATATCTTTCAAAAGAGTTAATTTCTCAAATATTCCCATAATGTTCCAGATATCAAAGGAATTTCTGGTCCTTCCCCCATGATTAATCTCCTTTGAGTATTTCCTGTCTAAATAGCTTTATCTCTCATTCAGTTAAGCAGTGTGAAAACCTAACCACCCTAGTAGGTGCTTCTTGTGCCATCATGTTCATATCAAATGAAGAACTCTACCTACTCAGTTTTACCTCATGGGTTAGTGTAGAATTCTCTATTTTCCAGCTGACATGCTGTCTGAATTTAGTTAAACCACTGAAAACACTTCCTCTCCTGCCTTTATATTCACTTCCGCCCTTTTGCCCATTCTCTACACATCTCATCTTATCTTGACAAATGTGATCATGTCACCTCATTGGTAGAAATTAAATAGCTCTCGTTGGCCTTTTCTAAGGACTGAATTGTGTCCCACCCCAATGTGGTTGTATCTGGAGTTAATAATTATTTAGGACATCACTTTTAATAGGAGAGAAGTCTTGGTTTCCCTCCCTCCCATATTCTTTCTCAGCCATATCAAAACACAGAGAAAGTTGATATCTTCTAGCCAAGAAGAGGACTATCAAACATAATTCTATCATGCTGGCACACTATTAGGCTCTCGGCCTCCAGAGGAGTCAGAGATTTAACTTCCTGTTACTTAAGTCCTTACCTATTGTATTTTATTTTGGCTGCCCTGAGTTAACTAATACAGTCATCAAGAATGGAGTAACCATCTCTACCAATCCAGGCTTATTCCATTCTCTGTACCTGCCCCACCCCAATCTGTGGTTCTAGTTATACCAACATTTATAACTTTTAATTTTCTTGAACATACCTTGCCCTCACTACATAACCTTTTTTCATATTGACACTATATCTGAAATGTGGTTTGAGTAACTGACTGATTCTCTGATTCTCGTCCTTTAGATACCACATTAGCATTATTTTTGTGGGTCTGGCATTGGTGGTATATACCTGTAATCCCCACACTCAGGAGATTGAGACAAAAAGACTAAGACTAATACCATCCTGGGATACCTACTGAGACTATCTACAAACAAGAACATTTCTCCTTCCTTGATTCACATTTGATCTCTACTCACAGTTTATTTATCTCTGCCTTCAATGTTCCTTTATTTTCATATAAAACACTTTTATAGTTTCTCACCTTTTATTTATGATTACAGAAGGGAAACAGATTCAGCTAGTCAGTCAGTATAGATGAAAGTTTCTGTCCTGCCTGGTCCCACAGCCATTCAGTTCCCCCCCCCCAAAAAAAAACACACAAGGCTTATATTAATTATAAGCTGTTTGGCCTATTAGCTCAGGTCAATCAGCATTTTGCTAATCCAATATGAGTGACAAATCTTCACAGTGTACAAGAACATTACACTGTATCCCACAGCAAGTCAGTGAATAATATTTTCCAAAAATGAGCAAAATACATAATGGTATTATCATAAAATAATGGATCTATAAAGTTCTAATTGTCTAGTGACATCAGAGCCATTGTAGCCTCATAACACAATGCACCACTCCTCTGTCTATATTGAGGCTGAGGTAAATAAACCTATTGTTGTATAAAAGGACAGCACATACAATTGTATACAGTACATATAACCTGATTAAAATACTAAGTGACTGTTAATACTGGTTAATGTATTAACTTTTCTACAGTTTATTTTTACAGTCTATTTCTCGACTTACGAAAGTGAAGTTGAGAGTATGCCATGTCATGCTTCCGGAAACTGCATACATTTTGTTTACCCTGTCTGTTGGCTACAGCAGGAGGTGAGGATGAGTAATTTGTCCATACTATTTATGGTTGCAAAGTGCATTCTATAATGTTTGTACAGTGACAAATTTCTCATAATGTATCTCCATCATTAAGGAGCGTATGACTATAAAAACAAGAAAGTAAGTGACCACTGAACAGAGG